ATTGTGGATATTTATATGCATGCACTGTGGATGCGATATTCTCTTGTGTGGATTAACGTCCGCACGAGTGAGTACTACGACTATCCGCAGTACTATCCTGGTAATTAGACCAATTCGTATATACCAAAGCAAAAATGTGGTTCGGATTCCACAATAAACTGTAGGTCCCTTAGTTAGTTGCCATTAGCTGTATGGGCTATCAATTAACAGCTGTGTCTAAGGAATATGTCGGCCTTAGTCACTAACAAGACTGCAAGATCGCGCCACTCATCCTTCACTCATATCCATTCATACTTGGCTTAAAATACCTACTTTGTATGGTCGCCATTTAATAAGAAAGTATTAAAGTAAACAAAGTGTTTTTAAGGAGATAATCCAATCAAGCGAATGAAAAATCGCTTAGTATGTAGGTTTGTTGCGGTAGGAGTATTATAAGTATAGATAGACCTATATTAAAGGATATTCACTTGATTGATTGTTAAATGCAAACTTAAACATACCAGTGGCCTCCCTACCATAGTATGCCCTCCCTAGTGAGTTAAAAACTAGAAAACACCCGTTGCCTATCCATCGAAATATATGGGACTATCCCTTGCACCTATTCTCAGTCTAAAGCTGGGTTTTCCTAGGCGCGTAGTCGGAGAGCGGAGAGAGGAACGCGGAGAGCGGACTCCACTTGTCTTAGGCAATTTAATGTTACTGTTTTCCTAGAAGCGGAGCGGAATGCCATGTTAATTTCAATTCCGCTCTCCGCGTTCCTCTCTCCGCTCGCCGACTCCGCGCCTAGGAAAATTCAGCTTTAGATATACTCGTAAATGTCGGGAGTTACCAGTTGATCGACCACTTCGTCGTCATGCCACTTGGCCGTCTTTTAAAATTAAATAGTCTGTAATATCCCGACCTTCATATATTTTTAGGGACTGGTAAAATCCGGTTGGATGGCAGTAATTCCTGGACAGTAATCCCTGCGCAATGACTTCCATCTCCACAATCACCTATTTATTTTCATCCTAAGGGTCCTTAGGATGTTTATGACACCTAGTCAATTACATTGTGAGTTTTAATAGTCGGTCCAATGGACATGTACTTCATTTGTCCCACTTCATTTAGTACTGTATTTAAATTTCAAATTTGCATCAAATTTAAAAAACTTTCGTTTGAATTTAAAACTGTTGCAAATGGCTTAGCCTTTTACAACCACTGTATTTTTGACAACTGTCATCTGTTTCATAGAGTATGCAAAACATTTCACTCCTCCATGTAGTAAAGAATATTTAATCCTCAACATTATGATTGGGATTTTTGTCGCACAGCCTTGAAATAATCCGTAAAAAAACTCAAGATACTATTTAGTCACTTATTATTATTTTGCAATAATAAATCAACAAAATGTCTTGTTACGTTATTGTTTATATTGAGATTAGCATTTTTCATTCTGGGTAGTTACATATATAATATTCCTACATATAATTCATCATACTGTATAAACAATTTCCACTTTACTCCATTTCGTGCGTTAAGTTTACTCAGTGTGGTGCTCCGGATCTTTGACCATGTACAGTGTTGTGGAGTCCCACGCCGCGCGCCGCAGAGCAAAGAAAGGCGTCCAGGCAAACTTCCTTTTCCTGTCATCATCACAGTTTTTAGAATTTCAATGTTATCCATAAGTCCATCGACTCGTGTCACTGCGCGAGATGGTTAGTGAAGCGCGAGTCTTATTGTGTCCAACCAAATCCATCGATTAGTGATGGTTTTAAATAAAAAATAAATGTCAGCAAACTGACAAAAATCAATAAATAAATCGATAAACAAATCAAATAGAATAATAAAAAAGCAATAATAATCAAAATCGTTCAAATATAAATTGTGAAAATCAGATTTCTTTCTGCAGTGAAAAATAGTTCAAAGGTCTATTTTTTTGTACGTTTTGAACACCCTGTAAATAGGGATAAAAAATAGATTAAAACTTTTCCCACTAAAATACTCAGGACTCAAAGACCTTTAAAATGAGGTATAACCTTCTTTACATTTGAAAATTTCCCATAAAACACCCCACCCCCTAAAATCTGTCCTTTGGGGTGCTTTTTTGGGAAATTTTCAAATGTAAAGGGGGGTTATACCTCATTTTAATAGGGGGTTCCAGATGCAATTTTAGGTTTCTGTTTGCTTTCATATTGGAGCTATAGAAGCCGGCCGGGTGGTCATTATACAGGGTGTCCGGTCATAAGTGTTAAATAAAATTTTGCATTAAACTACATGGTAATGGTGACAGAATGTCGCAAATTTGAGGTTCCCAACTTCAACAGTTAGAGAATAACAAATAAATTAAGATTTTTCAAAAATTATTGTAGTTGTTATGAAAAAGGTTATTTTACTCTGTTAAAAATGCACTTACTGTCAGTTTCAATGTCATTTTCAGAATCCTCACAAAATTTTAAATAAATATAACACATAATCGTTGGGGTACGTAAAAATATTCTATTTAAAATTCTTCGTTAAACAAATTATTTTTATATCGACGAAAATGTAAATAACATTCAGCAATGTATTTCTCGGTTGTTGAGTTCTGGCGAGGTTATCAAATATGACTAAAAACTTCCTTATTTAAAGGGCTTTACAATGATGTATAACAACATTTACCTACTGTCAAATCCATGGTGAATTTTACGCACTATTGTGAAAAATCACGGTCAAGCCAAAACAGGTATTGTAAAAAATAATAAAATTTTACTTACTATTTTATGAGCTGACCTCTGATGATGAGGGTATGTATAATTTATGATTGACCAGACTACACTTCCATCAAACTAAAGAGTTTTTTTTAAGACTTTGGAAAATTTGTAATTAAAAAACACAACACATTAGTAAAAAACATAATACACACTACAATTTAAATATGAAATGATAGTTAACCCATTAAACAAATCAATGACACACTTTGTCCGAAGCACGAATCACAGTTTGGGTGTAAAGTGCCCACCGTTTTCCCGCAAGCAGGCCCTAGCTCTTTTGCGGATTGCGCCAACTGTGACCTCATACGTCAATTTTTCCCTTACTTTCCCAGCAGCCTCAAGGATTCTCTCCCGTAACTCAACTTCAGAGTTTACAACAGTTGAGTAAACTAGACTTTTCATGTAACCCCAAACAAAAAAATCTAACGGGCTCAAGTCTGGAGATCGAGGAGGCCATGTCACACTTCCTCCACGTCCAATCCATGTCGGGTAGTTTTGGGATAGCCACAACCGAACGCTTTCAGTAAAATGTGGTGGAGCACCATCCTGCTGAAATATGATTTCAGCTCTTTGTTGAGGATCAATTTCATCCAACAACTGAGTGCTGAAGAAAATCTAGATATAAATCACCGTTCAGATTTCCTTCGAAGATATGAGGACCAATTAACCGATCTCCAATCACACCTGCCCACACGTTGATCCCAAACCTTTTTTGAAAAGAAGCTTCTCTGGAGGCTTTTTGATTTTCATTATTCCAAAGATGCATATTGTGAATATTTATCACACCTTCTCTGGTAAAACGGGATTCGTCAGTCCATAGTATTTTTTTAAGGAAGTGATATTCAACAATATCACGTTGAAGAAGCCAGCGGCAGAACTCCTTTCTGGATTCGAAGTCACGAGGCTCCAATCCTTGGACCTTTGTAAAATGATACGGATGGAAGTTATTGTCCTTCAACACTTTATGTACTTTCCACCGGGACATACTAGTTTCAAGGGCAAGCTGCCTAACACTAGTAGTAGGATTATCCATAACTCTCTGAATTACACCCTCTTCAGCTGCAACATCATGCACAGGTCCTACTTCTTTCTTCTTCTTCTCAACCGATCCTGTTTCCAGCAAACGTTGATGCACTCTAGTAAACACCTGAGTACTGGGGGTGGTGCGATCAGGATACCGATTCTGGTACTCTCTCTGAGCAGCCGACGCATTACCGTTACACAAACCATAAATAAAATGCATTTCAACATACTCCCGAATCGAAAAAGACATAGTTGACCGATCACTGTCCACATGTGACTGATAGATCGTTTTAAAATATGACTACTGGTTCGCTTTGTTTTCTTATCGCTTGGATAAAGTATTGTTATCAGTAAAATACCTGAATCTATTGACTAAATCCATTCAACAAAATAGAAATTCCGGGAGATAATTTAAATCTTACATGAAAGTTATACGATAACCGTAACTTTATCACAAACACATTTTACTACTATGTTTCTTTTCTTAGCTGGGTAGTTATAAACAAAGCGTTGCATGCGAGAAAGAAATACAAATTATTTGTTGCCTGCACTTAAATGTATTATTCTTCACAATAGATTTTCTTTGCCCTACCATGTTTTTTTCACAATAATGATCGAATTACATGAGGAAATTTGAAATTCGGTAAAAACTATTATACACCATTGTAAAGCCCTTTAAATAAGGAAGTTTTTAGTCATATTTGATCAACTCAGCGGAACTCAACAACCGAGAAATAAATTGCTGAATGTTATTTACATTTTCGTCGATATAAAAATAATTTGTTTAACGAAGAATTTTAAATAGAATATTTTTACGTACCCCAACGATTATGTGTTATATTTATTTAAAATTTTGTGAGGATTCTGAAAATGTCATTGAAGTTGACGGTAAGTGCATTTTAAACAGAGTAAAATAACCTTTTTCATAACAACTACAATAATTTTTGAAAAATCTTAATTTATTTGTTATTCTCTAACTGTCGAGGTTGGGAACCTCAAATTTGCGACATTCTGTCACCATTACCATGTAGTTTAATGCAAAATTTTATTTAACACTTATGACCGGACACCCTATTAATATATTTCCACTTATTTATTTATTTTTATTTTTAAAAGTCTTGATACACAACTTTTATTCTATACAAAATTCTTTAATAATGTATCTATTTAGTTCTTGCTCATTTGACCTTTTGTAACCAACAGATGATTATCAATCATAACAACAATCACAAATCAACATAACCAAATTAATCGTACACGTCAAGATATTTATCAAGCATTTTCAAACTTTTCGGTCTGAAGTTTTGCCACAATGGGTGACGAAACTACCAACGAAATTCCTTGTAATCAGAAACCCTGTCTCCCGCGTGTCCCGAAGAAACCTACGGTTGCTGACGACGAAGCCAGTAAGACCATAAGGGAGAGACCCATCTTGTTTGCTGGGGTTGTGTGGATTGGGGTAAGTGTTTCGTGGGAAAAGCCATGTAGTTGGATGTAGAAGGTAAAATTAGCATGCCCACCGTTACGTCATTCTACTGCACGGCACAGAAGTCCTGGGTGACACCGTGAAAGTCAACAAGCAGCCTGAGAATGCCATTCGTTCAGTACAGGGGTGCGTTTAGAGTTTCCTGTGTGTATTACAATATTTATGACGAATTAAGTCCATTTTAGTGAATTTCTCTATAGGGGTGTAGCTATTGCCGTAGGTGGTACGGTAAGACCTGGAGCTGGGACCGATGATATACTTTTTCATTTTGATGTCCCTAGAGGCCAAAAACACTATTCGTTCAAAATGATATACCTGTAAAATCGACCCTAGATGGTTTATAAATTCAAATTATGTATGTAGCCTTTCTTTTTCTGACCTTTTCTAGATTCTTCGAAGGTTTTTGATTCCACGTACATGTACGCAGCAGATCCACAAGCAGCCTGAGGATTTAAAACCTCACCAGACATCCAACAGACAAGTGTTAGAAACTCGACATGTTAGCGATTCTGAACCTTTGCATGTCAATCACAAGCTTACAGCTGTCCCACTTATTACAGAGTAAGTGCGTGTTAGTTCTGTTATTAATTCCTGGTCCAATCGGCTATTATTTTATAGCCCAGTCTGTTCATTGTGCTGCAAGGTTATCCAAAGAGTTGATACCATTCAGAGTATTGCACTTAATATTTCCTAACTTGTTTGTTAGTTTTAGACAAGTTGAATGAATGTGCCAATAAAAATTAATCCAAAGACTGAAAGAGTAGATTAGGTTTTTAGTGAGTAGTTCACTGGTATTATCCCTGTCCTAAACACTACAGGCCATAGTGGCTACCTACTGGCCACGTGTGTGCGTACACGCGAATCCCACCTTTTCCTAAAATATTCTACCTAAAGATTACCTGTGCCAGTGATTTAAAGGAGGCCAAAAACATTTAGTTTTGCTATACAAACACGAAATACGCGTACTTCACTCAACTTCGCCATTGATTATTAGTACAGATGAATGATTATTTCCAGGTCTCAGATGTTATAATATTTACGACCACAATACTACACCACTGCCACAGCTAAGTTTAGGCCTAGTTCTGGCTTAGGTACTAGCCCAACAAGTCCTTTAGTTGTTTTGACAATTTGTTTGCTATCGTACCAGTCCGTTAATGCAATGACCTCATGGTCGGATATATCACGCTAATTTCGACATGTTTACCACCACTTGACATGTACTTTCATTTTTTAGATATCCTGTGGTCACTGGTGACCCGAAATCAGAAACGCTCCAGAGTCCTATCAAGGAAAAATCATCTTCATATGTCAGAGAATTAGTGGCCCAGGCACAAGAATCATCTTCTGTTGTTGTAGCGCGAGCTCGAAACTTCCCTCAGGAGTTGGGCGCCATCTTGAGAGCTGGCCAGAGAAATGCTGCTGGTATGCTAGAATAATTAGAACGCTTTACAGTTATGCCTACACTACAATAGGGGAGTATAGTATACCTTTGTTTCGATTATTTAGAATTGTGAGTGCTTAAAAGATAATTGATCGTTTCTAGCCATTCTGCTGTTGATGCCTTCAGACATGGACACTGTTGTTTTAGTAGCTTGCTTGTCGTAAGTTTCCATGTTATTTCTTCAGGCAGTTTTAATAGTTAAGGAACTTAAAAGAACAGTTCTTGATATTAGAAACAGGCAATAACCATCCAATTGTAAACTCAATATTGGTTTATACCTGTTGCAGTAAACACTTCGGTAGCTATCAAATGAATCGTTCTATAAGTGTGAATGAATTTTCACAAGTGTAATTCTACTACTCGAAAGTAATCATTCAGACGTACAATAATATACAATTAACACCGTTCCAGAGTTCCATAGATCATAATTTTAGCAGATTGTTAGTGGAATCAAAACAATTCTTAGGTAAACACTGTGGAGAATTTAAACTATATTATTAAATAGCAGCTTTTAGTGAGTTTTAATTACTCTTAAGTGTATGCCTACTCATTATAGTATGTATTACAAAATCCTGTGTGTGTGACGATTAGCAAATAACCAAAAAATTCATCGAGACTCTATAGAATCACTCGCACTTCAAAATCACTGTTACAGAAGTCTTCGAGGCTTTGCGCCGAGAGGATAACCACAGTTCCAGGCTGGTGGCGATCTCCATCAGCAGTTTTGTAGGCTTGTTGTGCGGCCTCAAGAAAGGAGCTGTACCGAGCATAGGGTACACGATGACCGGAGCAACGGCGGCGGCGAGCTTGTGTTACCCTGAGCATACCAAGATCTGCAACCGGGCAGTCCTGAAGGTCTTACGACAATCAACCCCTGCCACGTCGAGGGATCAGTGTTCAATCAAGGGTGCGTTTAATAAAATATAAGGAAGATAAGTAATTAGTAGGAAGTTTTTGAGCGTAAGGTATAACACGTTCCCCATCAATCGTTACACTCCTAGGTGTATGTGTGTGTTGAGGACGGTCGTTAGTGAACGTGTTAACAAGTCTTCAATCTGGACTGCAAATTTAGATTTTACATTGAGCAAAAAATTATATTCCTATTTTTTTTTAAAGGACTTATTCCTATCTTTCCGCTATCTCGTAATCGAATTTCTTGTTCCTTTCGATCAATAAAACTACATATATTAGGTACACACAGTCATGGATGTTTTGAACTCAAAACGCAAATTTTTAAATACAGAGTTTCAATATCCGGTAATCTTATGATGAGTTGATACTTGATAAGAAAACTTTGCATCGTTAATAATAAAATGTAATATTTTGTATGTTCAGTATGACACTATCTTCGCTATCGGTTTGAACTATAATCTTATCTAGACTTTATTTTGCAGGCCCACCATACCCCCTTGTGATGGGTGATTGGTATTATTTCCAAATGCCCAGCTTAAAAGATGTTTTTGGATACGGGCAGTTGCAAGATACAAATGACAATTTCAATGCCACCGAATTTTCTCGAGCAGAAACAAATGTAACCAAAAATATCTCAGAAAATATCTCAGTTCTGTCCAATCATCCTTCTAAAAGTAGTAGTGAAGAAATCAAAGCTGAACCAAAAGAGCCTAGCATAATCTTGAACAGAGTGGAAGTCGAGCCTAACAACGAAATTAATAAGTATCCAATCCAACGAGATGTTTCAGAACAGTCATTGATTGAAGAAGTATTCCTCGCACAGTCAGATGAAGCTGAAGATGCACTTCAAAAGATTGAAACAGTGGTAAACGAATCTCATCCTCACGCAGTTTCTGACTCACCAAAGCTTGTAACAAAACATTCTGAAGAGGGGTCCGTTGAATCAGAAAATATAAGTCTTCAATCCCCTGTAGGAGTGGGCGAATCAAAGGAAGATATTTCTGATGCTGAAGGTGATCATGAAAATGGTTATACCAATCACTATGAGGCTAAAGATGAATCTTCCGATACGGTGATGATCATTAAAACAGAGAAACTTGATGGTCAACCAGAAAATCCAAACGAAACTGACAAAAAAAGTGATGGAGTGCCGCTGAGCAGGAAGTTAGCTCCTTACTACAGGGCATTACCAGACGATGAGGTAAATTACTCGTAATAAAAAATACCTAACACGAGTAAAACTATGTATAGTTGCAACTAATAGTTGTGATAGTCTTGCATACTGACTGGCATATTGCATAAGTCTTGCAATATGCCATCTCAATATTGTTCCTAGACTAGGTAAAGAGGAATGTGAGTTATGGATGTTTGGAACAATATTAATTGTAAACAGTATGCTAGAAAAGATAGGATTACATAATATGCGATTCAACTGGTGCTTAAATCCGCCAGTCATTCAACTTTCATACAAATGTTGGACGATGTATCAAGGGATGATTTAGTTCTGTTTCATTTAAAGTGTGAAACAGTCAAAAATATTCACAACATTGGATCCATGCAGTGTTTAAAATCCATTTTCAATCTGCATAAATACATCTCTAAGACCGGTAATTAATAGAAGGGTTACTTTAGAGGGTCAAAATACTTGTAACATTTTATCATACGTCTAAACTTAAGTACTGTATTTATATTAGTTTTATTTATATTTACTTATGACATGTAGTATTCATTTTTTTAGCGGTAACATTAAGTTTTTATTCTAAAATCAATAATTACAAGGATAACAAAAAAAACACACAGATGTTCTCTTCTGCGTCATCTTACCAATGCAAAGCACGAGTATAGCGGCTAGTGCTATAAACGAAATAACCACCCCTGTTTTGCATATAAAACAGTTTGTTTATCGTTTATATGTGAGCTATTCAATTCAGAGTTGTACATTGGATTCACCAATAATGTTAAATGTGTTTGTGTTTTGACTAATTTGAAATCTTACGTTTCAGAAAACCTCACGGGAGAAGGGCTACACAGACGCATACTCTAATCGTGGCAATTAGAACTTGAAAAATATTATATGTAACGTAAATTATATCAAACATTGAATTGTATGAAGCTAAATGACATTGAAAAATAATAAAATGGCTTTAACTAAGTTATGATAGGCCTACATATTTTTATTTGATATGAAAAATTACTCTTATTGGTAGGGCCTATCACTGAATTAAGCAGAAAAAGACGCATTTGTTCGCTATAAAATATCGTGTCAAAACTTGTTTACAGTAATCCTACTAATATTTAATGTTAAAAAGTGTGTGTCATTTCCAAAACTCACTTTATTTCGGTTGTATCATTAGAAAACTCACATAATCCACCAGCCAATAGGAGGGTTGTAGTTTTTGTTTTTCCAAAACCATCTATATCCTCTTACCCAATCGGTGTCCTGAATTCAGTCATGTGACTTTGTTATCATTCTGGCTCTGTCGTCTGACAACCACATGAGGAGGAGTATTGTGAAGGATACCCTGCTCAAGATGACAGATTTGTAGTTTAGAAGGGTACTCTTGCTCTTAAAATACAAATCAATTAATTTGAAAGATGTTAACATAAGTAAGTATCTCACTTTTAATTTTAACATTAGTCCAGAGAACGTCTAATGGCCTGTGCTTCTGTATGGTAATTCTTTTACTGTGAAATTAAAACAGTTCTTGAAACGGTTTTTTATAATTTTATAACATTTCCAGTAAGTACCACTTAGAAAATGGTAACATATTAAGGTTAATACAATATTAGGTTACAATATTAGGTTTGGGGAGCGAGCTGGCGTAGTGGTTATAGCGCGGGACTTCAGTCCCTGAGGTCCCGGGTTCGATCCCCGCCAAGTCACCAATGGATTTATCTAAGTGATAATGCCGCAACCCCTAGGTCTAGCCTGAAATAATGTGAAAAACAATCCCAGGCTCGTGCCTAGCGTCCTAGGACCAAAAAAAGGTTAATACAAGCCATGTTATTAGGTATATTATCTTAATATTTTGTTGTATTTTTTAAAAACAAAACTGATTAGTGTTATGCCATCCTAGGGTAAATACTGTCCTTCCAAAACCAACTTTATCCATAGGCGTCAGAGCAAAACTAACTTTATCCACACTTAAAACTTATTTTCTCAAAAACTACAGATATTAGGAAGAAAAAGGCATGCAATAATACACAAAGACACATATCTTTCACTTCGGATGAAACAAAACATAATAATTCACTGTCAGGATAATTAATTAAACGTTTTTTAATTTCCTGAAAATTTTAAAAATAAGGATAATGTGAGTTTAGGAATGGACCGCCTCAGTTATCGTGTTCGGATACATACACAGTACACACACACATTTGAACGAATAGTGTTTTTGGCCTCTGGGGACATCAAAAGGAAAAAGCTTCGGTCCTGGTCTTATCATGCCACCTATGATAATAAAGATACCTCCCGATAGGGAAATTCGCTAATAAGAGTATTTACCAACATAAGGGCACTTACATCTATCGTGAAACAGTATGGGTCTGAACTAACAAACACAAGTAGATTTCTGATCCCATTGTAAATTTTGAAACTCTTGATTCGTGTCTAGTTCATTTCCGGTGACACTGATCGTTAGTTTCGACGAAATTTTATTTCGATTATCTTAGGGTTAATTTAATGGTTTGTACATTGGTTACCCTATATAACTAGGGGATGAGTTATTGTTTATGGTTAGATCGTTTTATTTGGTTAAACAAAGTTTTAAATGGATGAAATAACCAAAAAATATTGTAAACCAAATACAATACGACCTCTACGCAGTGCACCGAGCAGAACTAGCAATTAAATTAATTGTCTTCAGCTGCTCCATAAGTATGAGAAATATATTGAGGTAGTATGTTTTATCTATGGTATCACCCTCATGGTTCAATGAAAGGCAAAATGTTTATGTTATTTCCGTACGGTTTATAGGGGGAATCATGTTGTGTACATTAGGCCTACTTTGTAAATAATTGTTAATCATACGCCCTTCAATAACCATAGGGTAAAGCAAAAATATACGAACCTGCCCAATAGTAAGAGAGAAACGAAGGTTTTAGCGAATTCCCCTATATTAATGCACGGTAAGACCTAGGCCCGGGACTGATTTACTTTTTCATTTTAATGTCCCCAGAGGCCAAAAACACCATTTGATCAAATTTTTATATATGTATATATACGTCCGTGAACGCGATAACTTGAGTAATATTTGTCCGATTTTGATGAAATTTGGTTTAAAGGTGTAATGTGGGATCAACTTGAATGAGTTCGCAAATCAGAATGATCGGACCATGGGAATGGGGCTTTACGGGGGTTTTGATATGGGGTGAAAAATGGTTTTTCTCATTTTTGACACTGAAAACACAAAATTTCCTAAATTCTCTCTAAATCTTTTTAAAGACCTTAAAAAACAAATAATTTAATACATCAAATAAGTGTTTTTGTACGGTTATTAGTTACGGAGAAAATACAAAATGGTAAATTTAAAATTCCCATGCTATTCTTAAGGAGAATATTGTAAAATGTTGTAGTTTGCTTAAATGGTTATATTTTGAACAAATTTGGCAAATTTATTTATTTTATACTAAGCTATTAATATTTTACAAAAAATACACTTTATTAGTTTCCTTGTATCAGCTGAAACCTAGGTACTCATTAAACCTAATGTTATTTAATTTGGTTTAGTTGAAAAATCAATTCAGACAAATGGAAATTCGCTTAGTCGGCAGGTTTGCTGCGGCAGGGAAATTTATCAAACTACTGTATAGCCACGGTATAGCGCTCAACGTCACCAATGGGCCCTGTTACACTATGGTGGCTAGTCACGACCAAGGTTATTACAAAAATAAACATGAGCCACGACGCCAGCCATGTCGCCGGTCGCCTAGCTAGGCTAGGGCCACACTTGGCGACTTTGCAAGGCCCCACTAAAAACCCACTAGGTTTTTCTAATGGGGCTTTGGACTTTGTCGCTGCGACTTTTTTCGTGCGAATTTGTCGCGACGACAAAGTTGCTGGGGTGGTCACACTAGGCGACAATTTCAACCTTTCAGTTGACTTTTTTACCATACCAGTAAATAGGAGTTTCAAGATGAGCTATGCTTCAAGCATAGATTAAACATACTGCCTTGCGTTGGTTAGTTTATGCTTCAGACATTGACTCAGTGGTGTGTAGTAGTAGTTATGAGTGAGGTCTACTTTGATACTGATTGTGCTGTTTATGTTTTCCTTCTTTATTTTTTGCAGTGCAAGTTGCAATTTTGCTCAATTTCGAGCAACGAGCTAGTTTTCAATAGTTATTTGTGTAACTAGTGGTGAAAGTGGCACTTTGCTGCACACGAGAGCAATGTTTACGCACGAGCCACAGGCGAGTGCGGAATGATCTCGAGTGCAGCAAAGGCCTTTTTCACTCGTGTTACACATTATATTTTTCCTACAGTTACTATAAAGCATATAAATAATTAGATTTTCAAACACTATACAACACGTTTTTAGGTTCAGCTGACAACACAAATGGTGCCCTAGAGAAAGTAGTACCCGCGGTCCGTATCACTCCGCTATTTTCCTCGGCAAGAAATGTGCTCCGCGTTTTGAGAATATAGTCCCGTATGTTTTTGTAATTTGAAGTGGTTTCTACGCCTAAAAAAATGCTTTAAAGGTATTTTCTTGTTTATTAAAGATCGTAGGAATGTTTTAAAACCGTTTAAAAGAAAAGTCCAGAAAGTTCAGAAATACCGAAACTATAAACACGAAATGACAGGTTAAATCGTAGTTATAATAGTCAATCAGCTGCTCATAGTGTTATTATCTTTAAGTGTTGCCAACCTATTTCCAAGCGTACACGGATTACGTGCATAATAGAACCACGCTGTTTTGTGTTGTTTCGTTGGAATCCTGATGTGCGGCAAAGTATAAACCGTACGGCAAAGTATAAACCGTACGGCAAAGTATAAACCGTGCGGAAAAGTATAAATATGCAGCAATTAGCAGCTTTCTGTACTATAAACAGTACAAGGAAGCCAACTTTGTCGGGTGACTGACTGTAGGAAATATTAATTCTCTTGTCTTTGCCAATCAATTGAGAGCGAAAAAAGCTCACCTTTTTTGCAGTTTCAGTGTTTCGTTTCATTTTCGAGTTTCCCTTCCTCTTCCTCGGTTATAATTAAAGTAGATCCAACTAGAAAGGAATGCGGTAATGGGGCAAATAACTTTATAATTAAATAATCCTAGTGCAAAATTTTATTCTAAATTCATTTATAAAATGTCGGAAGAAGTATACTGCCGGTTATGTGCGATGAAGATACAAAATTATATAAAAATTTATGGAGAAGAGGGAGAAAAATTGAATCTAGCTACCAAGATCATTCAGTGTTTACAGATTTGGGTGAGCCATTTTAATAGACACTGTCTTTACCAATCTCGAAGTAACCTCTTGTCTCATTCAAATTTGTAAACAAAGTCAAAATTAGACTTTTAGGCCTAGTTCATTTAGTTCAGTTTCGTTCAGTTCGTTTAGTTAGTTGCTGTTTCCATTGTGCCTTTAGACTATTTGCTTGAGCTGAAGGTTCCAGAAGTACAGATTATATTCTGTTTATAGTTACTTGGCCAGTACAGCCTTCAGATAGAAGAAAGATTATAATAACGTCCATAGCTAGCCTAGGCCTAGGCTCCAAGGATACTAAGTTTAGGCCTAGTCCATTGACTGAATCTAATTTGTTCAATTCCATTAATTGCTAAGAAAAACCCCCTGAAAGTTAATGACAAACCCTAAATAATTTATTGAGTAAAATCATAGATAACTTAAAACATAGGCTACTCCCTTAGTAGATTTCTCAGCCTAATGGAACAGCTGAAGACAATTTTATTGTTAGTTCTGTACGGTTTATGTAGAGGTCGTATTTTGTTTACAATTTGTTTCCCGTTAATACAGTCATTTAATACCTCGTTTAACCAAATAGTACGATCTAATCGTAAACAATATATTGTCCCCTAGTTATTTAACACGTTCGCTGCGGCATGTTTAATAGTGGCGTATCCCCAGTGCGGCGCAGCCCTCAGCACCGAACAAACCCGATTGCCGCGTGTGATTGGCTTTCCAATTTTGGTCTGACAAATAGCAAATAACGTGCAGGGATGTCCTGCTTTACAACGAGAGTCGACGTAGTTCACTAAACACCTACAGATAGCAGCACTGCTTGGAACGTAGCCGGTCTCATTGGAATTGTATTGCCAAATGGAGGGAAAAAGACGGGACAAAAAGTAGATTTTTGAGATTGCCAGACGGGGATTTTACGGGGAAATTTACTACCAACCTACACCACAACAAAATGCAAGTCACATACTACACGCTAACGTGGTATAGGTCCGCTTTCGGCCGACGCTAGAGCAAAAACGAAGAAATACAAAAGGCATTGCCGAGCGTTCCCGATGGGGTACGGACGCACCATACGGGGGCCAAGCACCGTACCCGATCGGGAACGGCCGCACTCTACGTGTTGACCAAGCACAAATCAAGAAATGAACCCTAAAATAATAGAAACAAAATTTCGTCGACACTAGCGCCCAGTGTGGCGTACATGAACTAGACATGAAAAACGAGCTTCCAAATTTACAATGGGATGAGAAGTCTACTTGTGTTGGTTAGTTTATGGTAAAATATACCTAGCCTACCTTAAAGATGTTTACCGACCTATAAGTTAAGGAATTAACTTAACTTACTAGGCTTACGGGCAAACTGCCGTATCCGTTGTTAAAAACAACCAAATAAAAATATATATCGATTAGCCTATTTCATTCAATATAGGCTATCGTTAGGTTGGTTAGGTTTGGTTAACCTAACCAACCAAACGATATATCGAATGAAATAATTGATAGCCTATTTTCATTTGGTTGTTTTTGACAACAGATACTGTTGGATTCAGTCAACTTCCGTCAGTTGGATTCGGTCAACTTTATTTACTTACAGTACATTGATGTTACAGTCTAAAACTCTTTTGGTAAAACACAATATTCCATCAATTTTTCATCGTCCATCTTGATGATTGTTACAAATAGTATTTAGGCTATGTTACCGGTACTTAAAAAATGTTAAAAAATATTATGAAAATTAAAAAAAAACAATAAAATTTTTTCTATGTCAAACACATGCATCACACGTCTGTCAGGTGTCCGAACAATCCCAAAATATATCGCTGGGAAGAAATCTGAAATTGACTGATGGATGCCATCAGAGCGACTGATAGTCCTGTGTTGGAGCTGCACTGGATGAGTGTAGATTGCAAAAAAGAAATCCGTTAAAGAATTTTTTTTTACTGTGACATAAGTTACAGTAGACTCCCTCTTATCCGGACACCTTTTAACCGGACATTGGTTTAACCGGACTTGATCGGCAGGAAGTGGGCAATACTGAAACGACTGTTCTGGTGGGAAAGATTTGAGACCAGTGATCACGTGTCTAAATACAATGCTGTCCTAAATTTAAGTTGAATATCACAGTAAACAGTCTTATTTTAACAAGTTTTTGGGGACGTCGGTTTAACCGGAAAACCCGTTATCCGGACTGGCCTCGCTCCCGAGAAGTCCGGAGAAGAGGGAGTCTACTGTACTGATGTGACATGCCAGAATTGATGTGTCATGTGTGTGTATAGTCCTTTATATACTACTTATTCAGAAATAAAGTTGAGTAGTCTGTCTAAGTTAAGTGAGACTCGGTTTTTCCTGAATATCACGCCAATAACTTAGGTGCAATAGGCTACTTAAAACACGATTAACTTAACATTCAACAGAAATAAGATAGGTTAATTGTTTTAAAGTTAATTTTTAACATAAAAATCTACACCTTGCGTATTTGTGTAGGTGTAAAATGTATGGTAACTTAGTTATTTTTCATTTATGTTGACGCTTAAATAAATCCCATCGATCGATGATTGTAGAACGTTTACTTACAGAATTCTACACACTGCTAACTTATACACACACACAGAAATAAATATTGAGCAATTCAAAATCGCCAGTATTCACACAATTTTATAAAGGCCAAACCGCTCGGTACCTATATATTTCTGTGTGTTGTAAAGCCTAAATGTCTGTAATTAGGCATACTCTACATACATACATCGCTCGATGTAATTTATTCTCAATGTATGAATGCTGCTGAAGATGAACTGTAATAACCACACACTCACTAAAATCCAATGATAATATTTACTAGAATAATAATGGACTCTAAATAAGTAAAACAGTAGGTTTACAGCAATTACCATAAGTTAATCTATAGATTCTCATCTTATTTTTATTTTCAGCTTTACCCTGAAGATGTACTTCCAAAAACAGTTTGCACCGAGTGCTGTTCAAAAATTAATCTATTTTTTGAATTTTCCCAAACCTGCTCACAATCTCAAATATCACTTATGACAATGTATAAAGAGAAAGAAGAGGAGATAAATGATCCGCAAGTGATAGAATATACAGAAATGAGTTGTGAAAACGTAAGTAAAAAGGACATTAAAATTATTTTTTGTAACGATTCTAAGCTTTGATTGATTACAAAATGTGTTTCAATTTTCTTTTAATACTGTACAGTATAATGGCAAGTTGTGTATATTATATTGAATAAATACCTAACTTAAAAATGTTGATTGTCCAATATTAGTCATTCTAAAAATTGTTCTTTTGATGATAAATTTTTGGTCATAACTTATACTCGTAACTAAAGAAATACTGTAGTTGGTCTTGATCAGTAACAAAGCATGCAACCTATTCTACACTCATCAATCTTACTTCACATTTGTGTCAAAACCAGCCTTATACAGTAGTTTCCATACTGTAGTGATGATTCCATGAAGACCCACCCAATATTTCCACTAAACTAACTTCATCGATAAGGGCTGAGTATTCAAGTAAATAAGTATTTTTGTATTTTTCATTCCAGAATTTTGATCATGACTACGATGGTAGTACAATCTGTGTCAAAGAAAATACCAACGATTACACAGATCTGGTTTCACCAGAAAAAGGTAAGTTTTCATGCAATCTGTTGCATGTTCTTTTTGACATTCAGTGGCGGCTGGTACATAAGTACTGGGACGGAGTTCTCATACTTCAAGACAATAGTAAAAATAATAATAATTAATAACATTAATATGATTTTAGCGAATTTCCTACTCTTATGTCATGTAAGTAGAAACCTTCTTATATTAAGAACAGCAGTTAGTTTGCATATTTGCAGAAATGCTGGCAAAACTATTATATATAAACCTTCGCAAATACAGTATCTGACAGTTCAAGCCAAAATAAATGCTTCGCAATTAAATGTCACCCGGATCGTGTTGGTTCATATGTTAAATCCAATGATTAAACTAAAAAATGCTTTATAGATCCACGTAGCCCTAAGGTAGGCCTATAATTGAAAGCTACATTCCACAATGGTTATACGTATTTAAAGTACTACCTCAACCTTACCATTTAACACATTATTCCGGTTGACATGTTCATTATCAAAGGTGCTCTTGTCCGTTCCGTGAAACTCTGAGAAATGAGGACATTAATGCGTTACCAACAAACACAAAAAAAATACACAATTGAACTAAGGAATTTGCCACGGTTTAAGCAAACATATAAAATTAGTATTTGAAATCTTTGTTAATGTAGGCCTAATCAAATTTTATCATAACAATTTATAATTGCTTGGACCAAAGATGACCGGAAATGCTGTCGAAATGACGGCTTACTATATGAAATGAAGTACATAGACAATTTAGATTGGTAATTTAGAATAAAAATTACCAAAATAGGCCACGAACTATTGATACATAAACAACGTAAAAGCGTAAACAATTCATGATGGTTTGCTCAGCAAATGTTTTACTCAAATGGGTTATCATTTTCTTAGCATACCGGAAAGGCTAAGATTTTGGAATCCATACAGAAAAAGCAAAACTTATACAGTTAAGACATCAATTAAATTGAATATGCCTCTAAGGTGCAACACCAACGATAACTAATTACATTACAGTGATGTGTTGGTATATAAAAATGATTCTTGCAGCTACCAACGGTTCTAAGGAAAATAACCAATACCAAAAACCAACGTTAACATTTAAGAACTATAGTACATCCTACCAAGTAAATGCATTAATCTAGTCCCGAGGTTATTGATCTCTCGATTTTGGATTTCGCAGAGGATACGCGACCGGTAACCGGACGTGGATTAGGCGTCCGGCAGTTACTGTCATAACCTAACCTAACCAACCAAACTTGCTGATAGTGAAAAAAATCAAATGAAGGTTCAATTCTCTTCATAACATAAAATTATAAATGCCGAAAATTCTAACAAAAGATGTACAGTTAAGAAGAAATTACATTCAAAGCAAAATCTGTGACAAAAAATTAAAGATACCGATGGGTTTCGAACCTGGGACCTCTCGCATGTCAGCCGAGCACTCTATCCACTATACCACGAACACTGATGGCTGACCATCGTATCATTGTGGTAATGGCGTTCCGGGACCCCCTACCGGACGCCTAATCCACGTCTGGTTACCGGACGCCTAATCCACGTCTGGTTACCGGACGCGTATCCTCTGTGTTTGGATTTTCTCGTAAGAAGTTATAACTTAACTTTTTTTAGTATGTTTAAACTTATCGGTGTCAGTTTAGGAAAAAAAACCTTATCCAAAAAACTTTTTTGTTATTTAATACGTATTACGTGTGATTACGTATTCTCTAAACAATGATTAGTATATCTATTAACATTAGAAGGGAATGTGACAAAAATCACACAATGTTGGGTTTTTTTGGGTTTTTTTTTATTTCATAAGTAGGTAGGCCATGTATTCTATGGAAAAGTACCGGTATCAAGGATCGTCGTCGAAAAGGTTGTTATGAATAAATAGGTAGGCATACGTACCCAAGAGATGAGCTATGGGCCTATTGGCTGTATGGTCCAGCGATTGCATCACACGGTGAGTAGAAACAGAAAGTGACACATTGGAAAAGCGAGTTTACCATCATCCGTAAACCTCTGTTACAATCACCCACTGCAGTTGTGATTTTTTACTTTACACGTTACACAACCGCCATTGAAATGCCGTCAATGAGTGGAAACCATGTTTCTAAGCTATTGGCGACGATCATTAAGTGTTCCAGCCCAATACAACACTGATTCAAGGTCTTCTTTCTGGTTATCAAAACTCAAGAACAATTTTATACACAAAGAATCTCTGGTTCCTGACCTTTGTTAATGCCTAGCTATTTAATTTCATTTACGGTTACACTATAATATTGCACTTGTGATTAATTAAATCCTTATGTAAGAAAAACATTTTTTATCCTCACTTGGTTGGGATTTGCTTTCAAAACGTGATCGGAAATGGTTGCAGTATTTGTAAACAACATTTGTAAACATATCAGTGACAGCTAGAAAAAATAATCTTGATCCGAACAGCTGTTCGTTATTTCATAGATGATTATGTGATAAAAATTTAACGAAATTTGACAAAAATCTCACAAAACTGCATTTTTGAACGTCCGTAATTTTATTTACAAAGTAGTAAGGCCATATTTTCATGGCTAAAGACACTCTCGCCAATCCAGTGAATACATTAAAATGACTTGGATCTTGATAGGTACTTTCGTTTTCATGGAGAAGATTGCGTTAAATGCCATCTTGAGTGTTACAGACAGACAGAACAACAGACAGACAGACAAAAATTTAGATGAGACTTGTTTCGGCTTCTTTAATGTATAAAACGTAAAAATAACCCAAAAATTTATGATTCTGAGCAATGTACAGACAAAACTCTAATTTTATTTATATAGATAATATAATATAATTTATATTTACTAAGAATTTTGCACACAAACGTTATGCTGATAGTATCTTGTTTGATTAAGTTAAGTATATTGATTTCAAATTGATGATAATTTGATAAATAAATTATAGGTTTTTCCATTCTAATTATACTGCCTAGTTGCATAACTTTGTCTTGGTGTATATTGTTCGTATACTTCTATCTAAGGTTTAATTTAACAATAGCCTATATTTTTCCTACAGTCACCTGACAAAGTGGGCTTCCTTGAATTGATTATATACAGAAATCTGCTAATAGTTCCATTTTCTTACTTTTGCCGCACTTTTTTTTTGCCGTAGTATTCTTTTTTTTTGCACACCATTATTCCAACCAAACAACACAAAACAGCGTGCTTTTATTATGGACGTAAACCATGTACGCATGGAAATAGGTTGGCAACATTTAAAAATACAGCTGGTGCAGTTGTTTCCCAGTTTGCTAAGGATTTAACCTAACCTAAAACGTATTGTAACTGTTTGAAAGACTAATTATTTCTATGCTTTATAGTAACTGTAGGAAAAATATAATGTGTAGCACGAGTGCAAAGTGCCTCAGCTGCACTCAAACAACTTTTTACACTCACTCGCAGCTCGTGTGTAAACATTTCTCTCGTATGTAGCAAAGTGCCACTTTCCACACTATAGTTCGGCCGCTTAGAAAACGACCTGCGCCCTAATGCTAACCAATGCTAGAAGAGGTCGCTTTCTAAGCGGCCGAACTATAGTTACACAAATAACTATTATAAAACCATATCTTGTACAGAATATTATATAAATCAAATTTAGTGGTAAAAATTTAATAATGGACCACAGGTCCTGATGATGAAGTTTGTCTCAATTAATAAATATTTTCATCAGCCTAATTATTGTACATTTTATGATTTTTATCATTTTCACCCTGCATTAACATAATTCTAATTTACTGCTAACATTAAGTTGCTTATCAATCATATAAAACTTTTCTTCCAGCAACATCCAAAAGAAAACTTCGTACCCCTATAAAGCACTCTGAATTGGAAGAGCAAAATGATGAGCAGACTAAACCTTTAATATCGGAACAAACCATAGAGGAGATCGATCAATCTGGGCAATCAGCTGTTGAGAAGAAGGAGAGGAAATGTAAAAGGATCTCGACCTTGGACCATTTAGGAGAGGAAGATGATGGGGCTGATGATCCAGATTATCTTTCAGAGGCGGAGGACGAGACCAGGACCAGTGGAAAAGGTGACGTTATTTAAAGTAAAAAAGTTTTCTCTAAACAAGATAGGCAGGTTTTTAGCGTGTTTACATAAAACTTCAAAATGGTATTGGAACAACCAGTGACTTTTTGTTGTTTTTTCACAGGGCTGGATGGATATATTTGGAAGTGTATTACGTGTTTGGCTGAGCTCAACACATTGTCAGAGTTGCGCAGACATCACGCAGAGGTTCACAATCAAGCTCCTGTGTTTGCCTGTGTAACTTGCCCAAAGAGCTACACCCGCTACCGCAGCTTTGCTAGACACGTCAAGACGCATAGCGAACCAAAGAAATTCGCGTAAGTTTGATGCATACTTTATTTTCTTTAAAATTTGTCCGGCTTATGTGTGGCCAGACATGTAATAAACGAAGAGACAGATTTTTCGTAAGCCGTTTGAGCTTCAAACTCCTAACTTGGTATTACAGTCATAGTGTCTGACTTTTTAGCCAGTGTGAAAATGTAGTCTTACATCACGTAGCTGCAGTCTTCAAATCTGTAGACCTTGCTTAGTTGCAGTTTGGATAAATGGTAGATGTCTTAGTTGGACAACATGGAGATTGGAGAGTGTACCGTTTTAATGCATGGATTCATGTTTGGTTTAAAATTATCTCATGTAAATTTTTCCAAGTGTTGGGTTGATCTAAAATTTGATGCAAAATGTGAACACAAATATTTTTCCGTGAATCCTTAAATTCACACAAAGAACACACAGTGATAAGAGAGCTCATGTTTGTCCTCATTGTGACAAGACATTCAAACAGTACAGATCATCTCACAACATTATACAATCATCCTTGTCTCATATTTGAGTTAAAATATGCACATAGCCTCATCTCAACTAATTGATAAAAAAAAATACACAGCAATTTTATGTTCTAGGTGTGATGTTTGTAACAAGAGCTTCTCACAGAAGACAGTGCTACAGGCGCATGCAGCTGTACACAGTGATGAGAGACCTCACGCTTGTCCACATTGTGACAAGACATTCAAGCAGTTCAGTTCTCTCTACATACACAGCAAGTGTCATCTGCCGGAGCAGGTTAGGGAGAAGTTTCAATGCTCGTACTGCCCCAAAGAGTGAGTATCTTGTGTATAAATCAGTATTAATTTTAGAACATTATAATATATAACAATAATTTCTACTAGATTTTTAAGTTATTAGTTTAAAAGTGCAAAGTTAAACAAATAAATAAGCTTATTTCTACATGCAAAATGGCTGAATATTGAGACTTTAACATTTACACGTTTTAAGAGTAAAAAATAGAAAAAAAAACAATTTTTGGAAACTTAAAACACCCATAACACCTTGTTTCCATTACCCCATCTTGCTGGTTCACTGGTTCAAGTTTATGCTGCCCTACATGTCCATGAAAAATTTGATCTCGTTTGGACCAAAATAACTCAAGATATCATTATATTTAGATATATACTAGCTGAAACCCGCGGGCTTTGCCCCGTTTAACTTCTTAATTTTCAAGATGATCTCGTTCGCATGGCTCAATCACGTCCTGGTTGAAGTTCGTTCGCTACGCTCACTCACCTTTAGGTTGGAGCTCGTTCGCTGCGCTCACTTGCCTTCAGGTTAGCTCGTTCGCTACGCTCACTTGCCTTCAGGTTAGCTCGTTCGCTACGCTCACTCACCTTTTTGGTTGCAAATTAGCTGTTGTCATAAATGTAAAAGAAATAATAGTGCTGCACCCTGTTGGTAATCCTTATAACTTTAATGCTATTGAACATCATAGAACAGAACCAACTTGTTTAATTGAAACAGCTGTTAAGATTCATTAATTCCATTTCTCATAAGGTTAACATGGGAAACTCCAGAGCCACTGGGGCGGAGCCTATTGGACGGATCACGAAATTGATGGTGTATAAACCTATTCCATGACATTCTACACGTATGTACCAAGTTTCGTGGCAATCGGTTCAGCGGTGTCCGAGTTTATCACCCCCAAACAAACAAATATATATACAAACATCCTCTTTTATACTTATAGATATATATATATATATACGGTATACAAAAACGAAAATGAATACTAAGTGTTGTTGGCCTCTGGGGAGACCAAAATTAAATATTAAATCAATTGTGTGTTTAGGGTTTTCTGTGCCGCCTACGGTAATAGCATAGACTAACGAACACAAGTAGACTTTTCATACCATTGTAAAATTTGAAGCACCTTTTCCGTGTCTAGTTCATGTACGGTGCCACTGGGCGCTAGTGTTGACGAAATCTTTTTCTATTACTTTAGGGTTAATTTCTTGATTTGTGCTTTAAAACTACAGTCTAACCTTGATATAACGAACCTCGATATAACGAATTCCTTGATATAACGAATTTTTTTTAATCCCCTAGAACCCTCCATAAGACACAATGTATATTTTACCTCTACATAACGAACAAACCATAACAACGACCTTGATTTAACGAATTTTTTGTGATTTTGACTAAAATAAGACACCTCAATATAACGAATTTGTCATTGTCAGAACCTCTACATTGCGAATTTAACCTCTGCATAACGAATTGTCTACGTCTTTCCCTCGATATAACAAATCCCCCACCCAATAATTGTTTTGGGAAAATCTGTTTCTTTATCAAATGAAATGGAAAGGTCACGTCATCGCTTGCGCTAACATTCGTCTGCTCCGTTTTACATCTTTGTCTGCTATCGCTGCGCGCGCTATGTTGCAACTGAGAACTGAACTGATTTCATTTACTGAGGACTGATGACGACGTAATGTTTATTAAGCTGTGATTGGGCGATATGGGATAACTATGGTGAATTGTACAATTTTTGGATAAAGAGAAAACTGAGAAAGAATATAAAAACAAAACCAAAGAGAGAGAATAGCAACATCGTTATCTTAACATTCCTTTTACGACTGTTTTTATTATCCTTAAGTTGGCTATGATTTTATACTTTTATAATGACTTATCTAATAATTTATTGTTTTCAATACGATTTGTTTCAACTAGCAACACCAATGCTATAGTTAATGATTAAGGCAAATAAGGTTTAAGTAAAGGTTTAAGGCCAATAAATTTTCAGTAAACAATGACAAAACTGTTTCAATTATTTTTTCACAGACAAATCTTGTATCTGAAGTATCAAATGCTAAACTGCTAGGAATCATATTAGACTGTAAGTTATCTTGGCGTAGTCATACTGAAATGGTTGTTGCAAGGTTAAGTAACTCTTTGTTTCTGCTCAGGAGGTTGAAAAATCATGTTAGTTTAAGTATGTTAATTAATGTTTATTATGCATTCTTTCATTGTCACTTAGTTTATGGGGTAATTTTGTGGGGCAGTAGTAGCGGGGCAGTTAACGTTTTTAAAAAACAGAAAAAAGCAATCCGTATCCTAGCTGGCATAAAAAGTAGAGTTAGTTGTAAGACCTTTTTTCCTGAATACAAAATTCTCACTTTACCAAGTGTGTACATTTTGCAGAATATCATTTTTGTAAAAACAAATATTGAACAATTCTCATCTCGCTCATTAACTCACAATCATTACACCAGACTAAGGAATAATTTAGAGTTACCATCATTAAGACTGGCCTCAACACAGCGCAGCTATAAATATTTACAACTTAAACTTTTCAATGCCCTCCCTGAAAATGTACGCAACTTGCCTATTAAGTCACTGAAAAATGTATTGACCGATTTTTTGAACAGAAAGGTTATCTACTCTATCGAGGAATTTTTATCTTTCAAACATGATGATTTTCTGTAAAATTCTAATTGTTAAGTAGGGTATTGTTTCTAAAGTATGCAATAATGGTTTCATGAACTGTGATATAATAGTCTTTCATAATAATGTTATTTCTGTCAACTTTATTTAAAAATTTATTGTTATTTAGTTTTAAGCTGTATCTCACTGCCAATTTTAGCCTTAATTATTTTGTTATAGGCACTTACCCAACTTGTTTGCTTAACTATAAACAGTATTATTATCATCATTATCAATACATCTCAAATACTTTTGTACAAAAACCCAGTATTATTAGTTTATTAGTATAGCATGTTCATCTATTTACACTTGACTCTGTACATTGTACTTTGAATTGTATATTATCTCCATTGACCTGGCCTATTGTATGACATGTATACTTAATGGCAATAAACTATTTGAATTTGATTATTATTGACATTCCTCTGTTGTGATAAATCAGTACGGTACTGTACTGTAAGTAGCCTACCGGCCTATCACGAGCAGTAGCTTACAAAACTTTCTACTGTTTTGTTTTATTCTTTACATGGTTTATGACTACGCAATACAGTGTTTGGCTAGGTTTTAAGAGGGTTAGGACAAGCTGTGATTTTAAACTTACAGTTTTTAACCTGTACCAAGGTCAATGCCATTGTCATGATTGCGCAATATTCAAGATCCCTCCCCTTTATTATGCCATGCCGGATAATTTAGGTTCTACTGTACAATGTAAACACTGTACTGTAAAGTATTGTAGCCTATGCTACTTTAATTGTATTTTAATGAGGTCAAATCCCGAACTATATTGACCGACGCTGGTTCTGAACCTCGACTTAGCGAAATTCCTGCAAACCTAACCTCTATATAACGAACCTCGTTTTAACAAAATCCTTGATATAACGAATATTCAGTTCGGTCCCTTCAGATTCGTTATACTGAGGTTGGACTGTAATTGTATACATAACTAGAGGACAGGTTATTGTTTATGATCATTTGGTTAAACGTGGTTTTAAATGACTAAAATTACAAGAAACAAATTGTTAACAAAGCATGACCTCTACAGTGCACCGGACAGAACTAACAAATAAAATAGTCTTTGTTCTATAAGACTGAGAAATCTACTAAGGGAGTAAGGAGTATGTTTTATCTATAAAAGTTTCTTCTCTGTAGGAAAATTCTCTAAATGGAACTAAATGAGTGTAAATCGTTAGTTGTTTGTTAGTTGTGGATAGCTCCATTCAAATGTATGTTAGCTCCAAGAAAATACATTGCAAAATAAACAAAACAAACCTCAAGAGGGAGTAGAAGAATGTTGACGAAGTTGCTGGAATCAGGGTTAGGGACTGTACAGGTACTAAAAAAATCTCGATTCAATGAAATAACATTCCACTGTTGAGCAACAATATTATCTTTTAAGTCACAGCCTAAAGAAAGTGATTTTCAAAATGGTAACGTGCATAAATAAAGAGTTAGCCTACTTGGACAAGTATAACACACAATGAACAGTTAATTTATATTTTACCAAGTCCTTTTAAGTTGCTCTTTTACTGATACTTGAATGTGTAAAGCATTTTTACCTCATGTTTCCAGGTTTGCCACCAAGCACACACTTGAGATTCATATCAAGATGCACACAGGGGAGCGCAACTTTGTCTGTGACATTTGTGGCAAGAGATTCGTCGCAAAAGGCAGTCTGGACTATCACATTCTGACTCACACCGATGCAAAGCCTTATTGCTGCCAAGCTCCTAACTGCGGGAAAGGGTAAGTACTGTGATTGGAATTGTTGGCCTGGTAGGCAATATTCTGTAAGATGTTGTCAAGATATGCTCAGGGATATGACAGTAATTTGTTGGCATACAAGTCATAAACTGAGGATAAAGTGGAGTCCAAGCTCAGGACATCCAACCCCATGGAATATGTGAAGAAACTATTTATTTAATCAAAATCAACATTTTAGGAACAGTATTTTATCTAGTAATTTCAATAACTCGTCTCAAAACAAAAGGTAAACAATAATAATAAATAAACAGTTCATCTGATCTTTTAAACATTAAACATATGGTTAATTAATAACACCACAGAATATGAGATTGTTTTTGCAGGGCAAGTACAAACATGAGTCACTTGTCTTTCTTGTGTCATTTTGCACAGTTCAGTTTAGTGAGATTATTGCTTTTTGGCTATAATTTTCAGCTCTGTTAGAGGTGATTGGCACTTTTTATAGTCTTGCATGCCAACTGTTGTTTAATAAATAATAGGGATATTGCTGAAGTAGTTGTAGGCAGTAGGCCTACTTTTATTTCTCGTACTACTAAGGTGGCTGGTTCGTTCCTGAGGTAGTGGTAGTACCACTTTGATGGTTCGAAACCAGACCCAGCTGTCCTATATCATTGGGCTTTTAACAAATGAGTCTGTCTAAAGAAACAACAAGTCCTAGTCTGTTGTACAGGTACCCAAAACAAGTCACCCATCCTACCATGTACCATGGCTTTTGATAAATAATCCTGAATAAAGAAGCAGCTGCAATTAGTCAGTAACAAAGATATCATTTTATTCATCCAATATGAATCCTTGTCATCTTTACCTTAGAATATTTATCCTAGTGTATAAAACTAAACTAATATTTAGACGCTTCACGAGTTAAAAATTGTTTTAAAAAAATTGTAAATTTGATGAATAGTTTTAATCTCAGTTTAGGCTTACTGGAAGGAAAGGTATTCATGTTACTAGTATTGTGATTCCGTTTAGTGTACTGTATATAGATGTATCTTTTCAAATATAAGTTTTACCTCGTGCAGGTTCAAGACGGCTCGACTTCTAGCCAAGCACGAGACTGTACACTCGGGCATCAAACCTCACCAATGTGATGTGTGTGGCAAACAGTTCCGTGAGCGTGGCGCACTCAGGGAGCACAATAGGATACACACAGGGGCAATGCCTTACTCTTGTGAATACTGCGGCAAGCTGTTCCGCTTCAAGGGCATCCTCACGGTAATGGTCAACTTGTGTGAGATTACAGAATTGTCATTATCGTTGTTATTTTAGGTTATAATTTGTTGAAGAACCCACCAGGGTTGCCACCCGTCCCAATTCTGCCGGGACAGTCCCGATTTTGGTTCCTTATGCCCGTATTTAAGCCTATGTTAATCCGGAAGGGAGGGGGGCAATGTCCTGATTTTTTCCTGACCTAAGGTGGCAACCCTGGAACTCACCTTTATAGAAAAGTTATTCATTTGAATTGGGGCTTCTACAGAAGAATGTGGCAAAACTCCTTGTTGCTTCAAAAAAGAAGCCCCAAGAAGGATATACCAAAATTAACGTGTTGTGAACTTATTGTATGACATCAACTGCCTAGCTAGAACTCTTTGCTAGCCGGGTTTACATGATTGCAGTAGGTGAGACCAATTGTCAGAAGACAACAGACTAGCATGAAATTATTGGCTTTGTAACACTTCATTCCAATTGCCTTGCCAACTGTTCTCGCAATTGCCCTGAAATTCATTTGTCTCCAGGAACGACTGGGCTCCGACAATCCCGCATCACGTGATGACAATTGGAGAAGACTACTGTCTCACCAACTGGCATCGTGTAAACCCAGCTTAAGAGTTAGCTGTGTTTGTGTTTATGTTCCTATTTCTTTAAATGTACTGTATTCTTGAGTCAATTGCCTTTTTCACCAAACCATGATTTGTGTTTTCATTGATCGTCTGATGGTGTGCCTGTGCAGGTACACAGGAGACAGCATACGGGGGAACGACCCTACAACTGTGCGGAGTGTAGAAGAGGGTTCACCAACTGGGCTAACTACAACAAGCATGTAAAGCGACGGCACAGCGGGGGCGGACTGTCACCCCCCACCCCTACACTGCCACCGCCATCTGAACCAGAGTACAAAGTGGAGGAAGAGGAGGTGAATGATTCAACGTTTGTAATATTAGATTCATCGCTGTTGTATTTGATGAAGGCAAGCCGGCCTTAAAAGCCCATTCACCCAAGTTATTTATCTCTTTCTTACTAAACTCTTGTCAGTAGCTCGGTTTGGTAAAATTGTACAACAAAAAGATCCCTGTGAAAAACTGTTTGTCTAAGTATGTTAAACATGTGTCCACCGTCACATGAAAACATTGTTTACCGAGGTTTAAATTTACTCTTGACATAACTTGAAACTTACTGTCCGGGAGTCAACCTGGAAGATTGGATGATGGCACTCTCTATTAAAGTCAAAACATCAGATAGTGATCGATGGGAGGTAATTGTCAGACCATGATAAAAAGACAAATCTTAAGTATTTAGCCTAATATTTCTGTCTTTTCTAGCTAGGTGGAGGTTTTAAAGTATTCAATTTGTTTGACAGGTTTACAGAGTGCCGAACTACATTCCCACCATGGGCTACTACATGCCTCCAATGCAGCATACGATACTGCAGACGAGAACGCAGTAGCTTCGGACTGAGAAGACACTCTTAATATAGCAATAGCTTGGAGCTGTGATAGTATTAATTGGTTGTGGATACTGAAGTAGACATATCGCTCTGCCCAGTTGTGTCTATAAAGAAATTCACGTGAAATGTAGGTGGCCTCTTTAACCTTGTTTTTGCCCGCCCTTATAGGCCTGGGGCCTGTGCACAGAACATATCCAGCGAGGGTTGAACTGAACTGAAAAATTAAGTGACGGGCACCAAGATCCTAAGACATTGCTGTCACGGATTCGTATCTAGCCCGTCACGTTACTGACTCAGTCGCTGACTCACTTTTAGAATGCTCAAAGATAGCATGACTCAGTTAACATGCGCCCCTTCCCTGTTGGCTGTCCTTTACAATTTAGCTGATGTTCCTAATTCAGAAGCCAGGAAGTTTTTTTTTTGTTTTTTTTTACAATATTGCTTAAGCGATTTAAAATAGAGCATTGTCCTACAGAAGCTAATCAGATTAAAAACGTTACTACTTTAGAAATAGTAACATTCTACAACACTCCTACCTTGTTTCTCTTCTTATTTTTTTTTGTCTTTGCAAATTTCCTATATAGAGAATAAGCTATTACCATAGTACTCATGGTAAGACCTGGACCCAGGACCGATTTTCATTTCCGTTTTGAGGTCCCAAGAGGCCAAAAACACCATCCGTTCAAATTCATATATCATAATATCATGTGTGTGTGTGTGTCTGTTAGCACGATAACTCAAGCAAAAATGATCCGATTTTTAATGAAATTTGGTATAACCGTGTAAACCTACATTTATTCAAACGAGTTCGTGAACTAGCAAGATTGGACTATAGGACGGGGTCTTATGGGGTAAAAATAGGTTTTTCCCATTTTTGACCCTAAAAACACAAAATTTCTCATATTTTTCCAAGCCATTTTGTAGCTTAGAAAAACAAATAATTTAGTATATTGAAGCTTTATTATGCGCCTAATGGTTACGGAGAAAATTCCAAAAAACTTTAAAATTTTAAATTATAATGTAACATGATGCTATACCCGTACTTTGCAACGGGAAGAAAATGTGACCTAGAGAGCTATGAAAGTGGTGCTGATGTGTGTTTTAAAGTACAACTCTATGATTTAGTTTGAAAATTTAAACTAATTTAAAATCGTAAACCTACTTACTTTCAAACCCCTACTTTTGATGTTAATAGATCCATACCTGAATACCTGAATACCTGCTGCGACGTCGTTGACCTGTCATAAGAATATGACAACATGCCTTAGTGTAGCAATAGCATCAATTGCTTCATATTTATGCTTCATGAATGACATGTTTTACCATAATTCTTCAATTTTAGTCAAGCCTCTTCACATGTAGCTAACTATATAAATTAAAAAGTGAAACTTAGATCAATCAATACTTTACTAAACGTATACAACCACACTTTAAAACCAAACATAACCCTCCTCAATCTACATAAAGCGTCACAAACATATTTTTCGAGTAAATAAACAAACACCAGTTCATTGTACTGACCAGCTGTTTCATTAACTAAATTAAATTAAATTAAGTCATTTAAACATTGGAAGCATGCCAGGCGTAGCCCTTTGGAAATCAGCCTGTGGGGCAGAGCCCTTAGGAAATTCGTCCATATCAATACTTTTCGGCAAATCTACACACTCTAAGCTTCATTTTGATGTGCCATATGCCTATATTTTTATTTGGTAAATGACCTTACCCGTTTACATAAAATTTGATTGTATCACTTTAATAATATAATAGATTTTTTTTTGAATAAGTAATCTGTTGTAGTTTACTTGTTTATGAACATATTTTGATCAAATTTAGAAAATACATTCATTTCTTAATAAATATTAACATTTTACAACAAAAAACACTTTTTTACCCTCCCTGTTGCAGCAAACCTAAGTACTCGTTAAACTAATTCTATTTATGGAATAAATGTGATATTTTTAAGGAGGCATTTTAGTGTAAATCCAATCAGGCAAATGGAAATTCGCTTAGTCTGCAGTTTTGCTGCGGCGGGGGTATTTTCTTTTCTTTTCCCCTGTCCATACTACTTCTCTGTGGCTTGGCTACAAATGCAAATTCTTGCTGGTATGAGCAAATCTCCTATTTTCATACTCAAGAACACAATCTGGTAATGAAATGTCTACTTTGGTATCCAATCCATACAACTTAAGTTTTAGAGTAATAGTACTTTAGATTAGTAGACAGTTAAAGCAGACACAAAACTGTTAAAGTTAGATAAAGAATTTGTTTCACGATTGTTAAAAATTCAAATTTGCTTGGTGCCTTGATTAGCAGATATTTCTGTTTTTTTAACATCACTGGCAATTTTTAGGACCGGAATAGTCGAAACTATGGTCATATGGCATCCACAATTAATTGATTAAATTAAAACATTTTTAGGAACATAGTTCTTACAATCCTACAATATTCTAACCCATTATTTCCTCAAGTGAGTCAGGGTCCTGGACCTGTCATGAGAATTGAGAATGGCGTTGTGGAGACAACTCACCATGAGTCATACAGGGTGGAAAATAAGTCCCGGGACGGTAAATATTTCAAAAAGTATTAAAAATAAAGCTTTAAAACTTAATACATTGTTACTTTTAACACATTATTCAGTGATGCGCTACCTCTTCTGGGTGACGGCCCTTTAGGAGTCAGAAGAAAATCAAAAACGTATGTATAGGTTGAAATGCACATCAAATCAAAGGGCTTCTTTATTAGTAGGATACAATGTCGCAAATTTGAACTCAAAATAACAACTGAGTAAAAAATTGCAGCCGTTCAAAGATTCAAAATGACAGATTCAAGAAATCTTTGAACGGCTGCTTTTTTACTCTGTTGTCTGTTTGAGTTCAACGTCCCCCTGAGGATGACTGTTATTAGTTTTTAAATAACTTCTGTGATACCGGTATTTGAAGATTGCTCAATTTCGATCAACAGGTGCACATGTTTCAAATAAAATTATATACAGGAGCCCTCAGCATAATGCCAAATAATTGCTTGATAAGTTACTTAAAATTCAAAAGTTTAATAGTCTGCAATATTTCCGCAATGTATTTTTATTGATAATCAATCTCGGTTAACCTTGTGATTTTTGTGCCATTTGTGTGTGTGTGTTTTTTTTTTTTTATGTGAGAACACCTCTTCTGCACTTATTTATTGCTAAAATTTTCTATTTCGGGGTTTTTTTTTAATTTCGTGATTTACCAATTAATTAGTTAGGCCTATTATAATTTATCAAATTATGTGAAAGACTGAAATGGAAATGTAAGAACTTGATGAAGATACTTTGCATTTTTTTATTATTTGACTACGGTATACACATGTCATTTCAAGCTTTGTTGTACTTTAGTTGTAATGTATGCTGATCAAGTTGTATTTTTAATAGTTGCTTTTTTACGTTTAGTTATATTATGACATTTTTGTAATTTGTTTTCTTGTTTATGTTTCTACACCTTTTTTGTTTGGATAGGATTGTACCAAACCCTGGCTTTGTTACTTGTCATTTTGTTTTTGTGTAAACATTTTGAATTGTTTGCTTTGAAGTATTGTTTACTTAATTTTCTCACTCATTTTCATTAGTGTCATGAACTGTCTAGTTAGAAGAAGATTGACCTAAAAAAATTTTCATTTAAATTTTATAATTAGTAGTTTTGAAACTTCATGTAAAAATTAAGAAATACCCCCCTCTCCGCAGTAAACCTGCAGACTAAGCGAATTTCAATTTTCCAGTATTAGATTTTCACTTAAATCTATTTAAATAACATGAGGTTTAACAATTATCTAGGTTTGATGCTACAGGGAGAGTAAAAAGGGTGTTTTCCTACAGTTACCTAACAATGTACATGTTCTCTCACTGATTTGAGAAAGCAAAGTGGCCAATTCGCTCATCAGTGAGACAATGTTAACATTGTCTCACTCTAATTACTTTGTCTCACTCCAGATTTGCAACGTGAATGCACGAAATAGTGAGCGCGTAACATGCAGGCAACGTCGTATGCGCGCGAAATACGTTGGCAGCACTGGCTGTAAATCAGCTGGTCAGCTGTTGTACTGTTGTATTTGTCACTTCACGTTAAATGTTATATTAAAAGTTCACTTCTGTGTAAAAATAGGTTATGTTTCTTCACCAATTTATTTGTTTTATGGTAACTGTAGGAAAAGTATAATGTGCAACTCGAGTTCAAAGTACAATTGACTCACTCGAGAAACCATTCCTCACTCGCCTACGGCTCGTGAGTAAGGATTTCTCTCGAGTGAGTCAATTGCTCACTTTTCTCACTAGTTGCACAAATAACTATTTTTTTTTTGTAAAATTGGAATAGCTTAGTCAAATATCAAAATATCAAATAAATAAATTTGCCAAGTTTTACCAAAATTTATCCATAAACATCAAACTACAACAGTTTACTTATTCTCCATGGGAATTTTAAATTTATAATTTATTCAATTTTCTCCGTAACTAATAACCGCACAAAAGACTCCAATATAAATAAATAAATAACTAATGTGTAATAAACTGTTTTTTTTTTTCAACTCTTTGAAATGGTGTCAAGATAAATTTAGAAATTTTATATTTTGAGGGTCAAATGAGTAAAACCAATTTTTATCCCCATAACACCCCGTTCTCATAGTCCGATTATGGTGGTCCGCAAAATCATTCAAGTTTTTCCCGCCTTAACCACAGAAACACTATGACCCAGAATGCCAACCGCATGGTAAAAAGCATTAAGTGTTTTGAGAGAGCTTTGCCTGTCAATTCGTAGTTAATGCTTTTTACCATGCGGTTGGCATTCTGGGTAATAGTAGTATGTTTTCTGTGCCTTAACCTTCAAGCCAAATTTCACATAAATCGGATAAAAATTACCCAAGTTATTGCGTTTGCGAATGTATGTATATTAAATTTTAATTTTGAATTTACCGTGTTGAGGTTTTCTTTTACCAGGACCTTTAAAATGAGGGGTCATCATTTGAAATTTTTGAGTTTCCCCCAAAATCCCCCATTTTGGGGATATACACCAAGTGGCGGTTATGCCCAAATAGTACTTCATAACATGCCATAAGTTGTGCCGAGTTTAGTTTTTCTAGTATGGGCCGTTAAAAAATTAACAGGGGGTCTCCAGACTTTTTACTAACCCTGTACCTATATATAATATATACATACATTTTTAAGGAAGATGAAGATAAATCATGTATGTGAAATAGTATATTTCATTACTAGGACCGAAAGTGGCATTTTCCGTCGCGCGCCCAAGTTTTTGTGTGAGGCGAAGCCGAACATAGGGAACTCCAATTTCACGTGCGAGGCGAAGCCGAGTATGTGAGAGCTATTTTCCCGTACGAGGCAAAGCCGAGGACGGGAATAATGGAGCAAGTGCCGGATAATAACTTTCGGTACGAGTTATGAACGATACTTTTCATCACGACGCAAAAATACACAAACACAGAATA